CCTTCTACAGAGCTTTTACTCACCCTTAATGCCTTTTCTCAAACTTATTACTGTTTAAATGTGTTTGTAGACTTTTCAGTACCCATTCACCATTGCCATAAAAGTTTCTAGACCTACATAAAAAATGAAAATGTGAAGTAGATAACCAAAATTATTTCTAAATTGCCTTGGAGAGTACTTAGGAAGGGGAGGGCAGTTTTTGGTTTTGAACTGACTTTTTACAGATTATTGACTGTGGTTCATTCAGTAGTGAAATTTTTTAATAGTCATGGTTTTGCTATGGTTATTTCATTTTTCCAGACTGTCCACTTTTGCTTTATTCAACATAGGATTGCTTAAGCTGTAGTTCTAGGATAGTTTGTTTCATCCTGTTTCTCAAGTCCATTGCTGCCTGCACACTCTTGAACTTTGCAATGTTTCCGTGCCAAACCCATATACGCTGACAACAATTTAAAAGACACATTAATATTAACGAAAAGGAGGATGTGCACACACACAAAAAAATTTAGCACCAGGATTATCTGGGGCTTATCTAAGAACTACAGCAGGATTTTTTCTGTGGGCCAGCTGATCAGGCAGACGCCAGGTACCACAAGAAGCTTTTTTCCCTGCTTCCGTGAAGAGGATTAATGATAAGGCATACAGTTAACTGTCAGCACTATTAATCGCCTAAATTCCTCAAGCTAAAGAAAAAAGAAGCCAACTCAGCAAAAATTGTGTGTCGAGGGTGCTGTGTTTTGTATTTCCAGCAGAGGGAGAAGCCACAGGACACTCCAACCTGGTAAGCAGGAAACTCTGAAATGAGAAAAATAGACAAAAACATGACATCTGGGGGTGAAAGCAGGACAATGCAGGTTTCTGGTGCTGCTTGGTCAGCCAGCGTCTGTCCCAAAGGAAACCGGGCAGTGCTGCTGTTTCCAGCTCCTCGCTGCTCTCCCAGCGCCCCCCAGCCTCTTCCAAGGGAAGGCTGGGGGACCTCCCCTACCCTGGCATGGGGTCACCCCTCCTCACCATGCTTCATGTCAGTGCACCGCATGAGGTCTCTCCATGGGGCAAATCCAATCTCCAGCTTTTTTGCAGCCTGCACACTGCCCTGTGCTTTGCTTGTGTGGGGCAACGGGTGAGGCCTCAAGGCATGGGGGGGAACAAGGCGCCATGTGCAAGCACTGCTTGTGGCCTGGGCTTCCTCTTCCTCCCATGAGCAGCAGAGGAGATGTCCCCACAGGTGATCTCAACATGTCTGGCAGTGCTGCGCCTCCGGAATGCTGGAGTGCTGGCCCAGGGGTCTCGGTGTCTGAGACACCTCAAGGTGCACCCATAAGGGCACAGTCCTGCATTTATTATGGCAATGATGGACTTAGCAACTGTTGTGCTACAGACACTGGCACCAGCATTATGAGTTTCCAAACAGCCTGGATGTCGTTTTCCAGAGCTGCTGAAACAAAGCTGCTAGGGTGGCCTTTTACATTCAGGCATTAGCGTCTACCATTGGCAGCTCTGGATCCAACAAGACGACTGCCCTGGACCAGGATGCCGCATCCCTGTGGCAATGCAGCAGAGCTGCTCCCCCTGCCCCATGCACCCGGCTTTCTGTGCAGCCTCTGCTCCCCCTCCATCTCCCCCAGCTCTGCAAGCAGAACCACACACCTTGTGAGGACAGGGGCAATATATAATTAAATGCCAGCCAGTGAGGAAGCCAACCTCACAAACCACAGAGAGAAAGAGCATAGCCTGGCATTACAGTCTGTGGTCATTTATGATGAAGAGGTATTTTCCAAAGGAAGACAGGCCATCACTGAAAGAGCTGCTTCTCCCCAGTGTTTTCAACCAGCTCTGTCTCTCTCCAGTGCTGTAGCGCAACCGCATCCATCCGGGCTCAGACCCAGGCACTTCCCAGTCCCCAGTCGTGTTTCCCCCCCTTGCCACCACCACAAAGCCGCAGCGTGCGTCAGGACAATCCACACGTACCAAGGAGTAGGAGGAGTTACAGAGCTGATTTACCACCTCGGAGGTGAAATGTCTTGCTAGCCAGAGACTGTAAGTCACAGATCCCATCAGCAGGCTTAGGCAAGGGAGATGAAGAGTGCTTACGTGCCCACATTGGATTGCAGTCCTGGATGTCAAAAGGACCTTTTCAGATGAGGAGCGCTGAATACCAGGCTCCAAAATGCTTGGTGCCAAGCCTGGCTGCCCCAGCATACTGAAATCCCTAAAGCAACCCTGTTCAGAAAGAAAAAGTGATGTAACTATCATAAATTGTTTAAAAAAAGAAAAAGCAATAGTGCATAGGAATGTATAACATCACCACAGGGAGACAGTAAACACCTTTATTTGGCCAGACTGACAAATGTCCAAGAGCTGGTGCAACATGGTGCTGACCTGGCCTCTAGTGGGTCTCCAGACCAGATGATTCTAGAGAGGCATGCCCTAAAACAATGTGTTCCTCTTCCAGCAGGCTATACCAGTGTATTTTTGCTTTTAGACTAGTCTCAGTGATTCTGTAGGTGCATTTTTATTAAACGTCAAGGGCCACTTTCTTACGGCTCTTAAGGCTCCACTGTGTTTATGCCGCACGAACGTATTTTAAAGTGGATGCAAAAGTCCCTATAAATATTAGTAATATGAGAACTGGGCCCCATGGAAAAGCTGATGCTAGCGAATAGTAATTTTGAAGTCTTTGTGGCATCAAATGAATATGGTATTCATTAAAACTATTTTGCAGTAGGAAATATTCTGGAGCCTGGGTTAAACTCTTACTTTAGCACTCACTGTTTTGCACTTATTGACATGAAATTATACCCTTCCATGAGAACTAGTTCTAAAAAGTACATTTTATGTGAATGAACACTCAGAATATCCTGGAAATATATATGTAATTCATGAGATCACTAATGGCAGTTAGTACAGTTCATTAGCTATCTAGGCCTGAATAGCATTAAGCATAACACAGTATCACCTAAATGTCAAGAGTGTGAGATGAATAAGCCAGGCAGGCTGTACGTGCAACAAAGCGTGGAGGAAAAATATCCCTTATTTAAGAGTTGAGCAGATCTGTAGTCTCCCAAGCACAGTGCCTGTAACATACCTTGCACTCCAAAATAACTAATGTCCCAAACTGGAGCTTGAATGGGACAAAGTCATTTATGTTTCCCTCTCACGTCTCGTAGAAGAGACAGGGCTCCCTGGGTGAAGCAAAACATAGCAATTCCTCTGGTTGCATTTGTTGCTTAAACTGGTCACAGGCTGATGTTTTGGGGACAATAAGGCTGTCTGGAATTTTCATCCTCTGGAAATATTCTAGGGTTTGGAGAAAAAGATTTGTCCCACTTCTGAATAAAAACTAAAGAAACTAGACAGCTTCTGCAGAAAATCTGGAGGAAAAAAGCCACCTGTTGGAACAACCCACATTATGTTTTACAGCTGGCTAGGAGTCTTTTGGCCTCACAAAAAACCAAGTTCTCTGGTGAAACTGAAATTGTTTAGCAGCAAGTCATTCTAGCAGACAATTCCCCACTCCTTTCCCTGTTAGTTCTTGGGACTTTTTTTCCTTGAATTGAAATATAAACTAAAAATTATTGCACAACCAAACTAAGAGTGAAATAATTAAACTCTTGATCCATGAGTACACAGGCATTGAGTAAACGTCACCTGAATCCATAGAAAGTGCAACAGATGGAGGTTTTAACATTGTTCTTGCAAATTAGTCATTAATTTATTTTTTAAAGTAATCATCATAAATCTTCCTAGAACAGATTGTTATTCTGCCTGTTATGATTCATTAAACCAGTGCAGAATGAGATCATTATCATTTAAGTTAGCATTTTTGAGGCTGCCAAATATTCTCCAAGTATTTCCTGCAGCTGGGACCACAAGTATCTTCCTTGGAGCTGGCAGCCTGCTTGCGACACATCCGGCTCCAAGAGCTTCTTGTGCCTCGGGTCAGCCACACCGTCGTGCCCGCAGGGACCCCAAGCCGCTTGGGACAGGTCGCTTCTCTTGACCCCCTCAGGCAGCAGCAAAATCGGAGGTTGACTTCAAGCTGCAAAGCTGCGTGTGGCATCAGCGTCTGCAGAGTGGCACGGCCACCGCCCTGCAGAGCTGGGGCTGGAAAACGGCTCTCACCCACCCCAGCCTCCAGCTCAGCTGGCTGATTACTGGGGCGCAGCGGTTGCCGATGCCTTTGGATAAATTGGGACTTTTCTCCTCCTCTTGGAAATTCCCATGTTGTAAAGCCAAAGGACACAGCTGGTAGAGTGGCAGCCGTGGAAGGCAGGTTACCAAAAATAGGCTTTTTCCCTTTGACTTTCTTTTTGTGTAATTTCCTGACTGCGTTATTGAAACAACAATGATATAAGGGGCACGATGCAGCAACAGGACAGATGGGAGGAGGTAAGAGCAAAAGAGCCAACAACACATTTTTGTAGAAGAAAGGGAAAAGAGCTGGCAGTAAGGGGAATTCACAAATTACCTGACAAAAAAAGCACACAGACATCCCCTGCCCCTGCACCCACCCTGAGAGTCCTCTGACACATGAAGGGTGCCAAAAAGGGAAAAAAAGCCTCAAACCAAACAAAAAACAAACCACCACCCCAAACTGCAGCAATTACTTGATATGGGCATTTTCACTTCCTAAACTGGGAGAGAGAAATTCCCCTGGGTCATCTGACCTCTGTTGAAACTACACCAGGAAGAGGAGCAGTGGCAATCGGCGAGTGCAGGGCGTTCTCCGGCTGTATAAAAGCCTCTCAGGCGTGAGCTGGAGATCAGAGCAGCGCAGGGATGTGTGTGCGTGCGCATACGTAGCAAGGCGAGGTGCAAATATCCTCCCAGCAAGATCATCTCTTGCACAACTCTCTGACTCTTTGCAGCCCGGCAGACCTTTTGTTTTTCACTCCGCTGCTCCTCTCCAAGCATGCCTCCAGAGCAGAGCTTCTGAAGAGCTTCCTCTTGCGCATCTCCCTGAAAACAGCTCTCCCCAAGAAGAGGCAGTTGCTGGCAGCATGGTGGGGGTGGTGGTAATGAGGACATGGATTGAGCCAGTGGTTGCAGGCTCCCAAGTGGCCAGCGCCTTCTACGACACGGCACTGCTGCTGGTGGTGAAGAACTACTACAATCAGACCAACACCACTGCTCCCTCCCATGCACTGGAAGATGCTCAGCAGAAGGCGGTCTCTGATTTTTATATCATCTACAACCTAGTCCTGGGCCTGAGCCCGCTGGTGTCAGCCTATGGCTTGTCCAAGCTGGGGGACAGGATGCATCGGAAGATCCCCATCTGCTTCCCTCTTCTTGGCTACTTGGGCTCCAAAACTCTCCTGCTCCTCCTGATCCTGCTGGGTTGGCCGATCGAGGTGATGTATGGGGCTGCTGCCTTCAATGGGCTGATGGGCGGTTTCACCACGCTCTGGGCAGGCATCATGGCTCTGGGATCCCTGGGTTCCTCTGAGAGCAGGAGGTCTCTGCGGCTTATCATTATTGAGCTGGTATATGGCCTCGCTGGCTTTCTGGGAAGCATGGCATCTGGCTACCTCTTTGTTGGCTTCAGTGACCGCTATCGGGAGGGCACTGTGCTGGTGGGCTGCAGCATCGCTTGCTATGCTTTCTGCCTCCTCTACAGCATTTTTGTCCTGACAGTCCCCAAGCCAGCAGCTTCCTGCCCAGCCAAAGCCAAGAGTGCGGAGGAGGTGGGCAGCCAGCTACCAGCCCACAAAGAAACAGCAGCAGCAGGGAGTTCCCAACCTTCAGAGAGCAACAGGTCCACTCCAGTATCCCCCTCGAAACTCATCATGATCATGCTGTTTGTGGCAGCAATCCTCTATGACCTTGCTGTGGTTGGTGCAATGAACGTACTCCCACTCTTCTTGCTCAGGGAGCCTTTAAGTTGGAACGCCGTGGAGATCGGCCACGGCAATGCTGCTGGCTACGTGATCTTCATCACCAGCTTCCTAGGGGTATTTGTGTTCTCCAAATACCTGAGGGACATTACCATGATCATGATTGGAGTGGCATCCTTCAGCGCTGGCATCCTCATCATGGCCTTCGTGCGGTGGACGTTCCTGTTCTACATCGGTGAGTCGAACGGCTGCTTGCATGAGTGAGTGCACCCTGAGGAAGGGGTTGGGGTGTTTCGGCATCAGGAGAAGGGCTTTTGCTCTGCTTCACCACGAGTTTCAGAGCAGGGAGTTCAGCAGACCATCACACGAGCGATTCCCAAGAGGGCTTCATTATCATTCCCCTCTCCCCACATCTCACTTTGCACCCCTTACACTCAGCACCCTACAATATCCAAAGGAGGCATACGCTCCTGCCAAGGCTTAGTTTAAGGCCGGTTGACTTGTAATTTGTCACTTGGTCATAGCCCAGATCTAAGCAGGGGAACAATGCTTGTGCCATGGGGGAGTGGGTGTTGGGGCTGGCTACCTGTACTAGTCGAACCACATCGCTGCATTAATGGGAAGCACTGGCTTTTTGTGAGGTAAGGCTTAAGGCTACAACAGAAACAAACTGGCAAAGGCTTGCTATTAAGCAAACATCTTAAGATGTGATTTATTTTTGTTACATTAAGGCATTTATGGCTGATGGGAAACTTAATAGTGAAACACTGGAGCTGCTTTAGCAACTAAAATATCATGAGAATGTAGTGTACAAATCTTACGCTATAAATGACCAAGGGGCAGGTAACAATAGATGGGGCAGCATCCCATAATGAAGGAAAGGCAAGTTTATTGTTGGGAGGTAGCCTCTGCAGGAACACAGAAAACAAAACCCACTGCATCCGTTGTGGCAGTGAGATGGATGATTCATATCTGACAAACAGGGTATCGTATGTTGCATGGCTTTGAGGTTTTGCTTCTGAAAGTGAGAAAAAGATCTAAGAGAAATGGCCTGAAGCAATTTTTCTGTCTGCCCCTACAGGGAATGAGAAATTGAAAATAAACAAAGTTATTCTACAGGGAAAAATGGTAGGATATTATATTTGTGTACTAAGCCAAACATTGAGTGAAATTTTTAAGAGATTTTGTTTGTTTAGGCAATCAGGCTGGGGAACAAAAGATAAAAAAAATTAAAATAAAAAAATGCTTGTTTAATAAAGTCCATCATGAACGCATGCTGCTACACAGTATGCAGGATGTTTATTCCCAGCATTGCAGGAACACCTTGGTACACTAGACATCGACCAAGTATTCACTGAGGTTGGTTCTGCTGACAAGAAGATAATTCCAGCTCCCTAAAAGTTTCCACACTACAGAAAGCCTAAAATACTGCAAGTCAGAAGCACCAAGATAGAAAACAGCTATAGTGTTATAAAGGTACTGTTCCTGTCAAGGCCATGTAGCATGGGGTGCTCTCTCTGCTGGTTAGACTCAAATCATTGGCCTCATTATCTCAAAGGACAGTGCTATATTCCATTTATGCCGGGATTTCAGGCTGAGACCAAGAGACCACGGGTGGTTTGGGCAAAGTACCTCTGCTAGTGGGAGCAATAGGTGGTTTATCTACCATCACCTGGATGAAGTGAGGACCTACACTCCTACCAAAGATTTGTACTTCTTTCTGGTACTCAAGGGACAAGAAAAGGTGAAGCAAAGGTCCTGCCCAAGCCAGAGGCATGTAGTCTTCAAGATCAGTGGTTGTTGCATTGGGAGACAAGGAGCAGGTACTGATGATAACTACATATTCATTGCATTGCAGCACGGGCAGTGATGCTCTTTGCCCTCATCCCCTTACCAACCATCAGGTCCATGTTATCTAAGCATGTCGAAGGATCATCCTACGGTAAGTACTTTGGTTACCTTACTGATCAAAAAACCTCAAATCCCTCCATTCAGCCTAAGGTGCAAAGAGAAAGGTAAGTTATTGCTGCAATCTGTGCTTTGCATAATAAAACCAGAACACTTGGTATCACAAACGGGAAGGGAGGAGCAGAGAAACCTGCAGGACAAGATTGTTGCATCCAAACTTCTTGTCCTCAGTTGTGTCATCATTTATCCATAAAATTTTCAGCACACACTTCAAGAGATTACTATCAGTATGCAGCTCAAAGGCAGAGAAAATATCTGAGGTGCTGCTCAAAAACACAGTGCTCCAAGGAAAACTAAGAGAAGCCAGACCTTGGGTTGAAGCACTGTGATACTCATTTATATGAGTCGAGGAGGTTCCTGGAGTGTGTGGAAGATAACTTCCTGGCACAGCTGGTAAGCGAGCCTACCAGGGGAGGTGCCTCGCTTGACCTGCTGTTCACAAACAGAGAAGGCCTGGTGGGAGATGTGGTGGTCGGAGGCCGGCTTGGGCTTAGCCACCATGAAATGATAGAATTCTCGATTCTTGGTGAAGTAAGGAGGGGGGCCAGCAAAACCGCTACCATGGACTTCCGGAGGGCAGACTTTGGCCCGCTCAGGACACTGGTCAAGAGGGTCCCTTGGGAGGCAGTCCTGAAGGGCAAAGGGGTCCAGGAAGGCTGGACGATCTTCAGGAAGGAAGGCTTAAAGGCGCAGGAGCGGGCTGTCCCCATGTGCCGTAAGAAGAATGGGCGGGGAAGACGACCGGCCTGGCTGAAGGGGGAGCTCTGGCTGGGACTCAGGAAAAAAAGGAGACTTTACAGGAGACTTTACCACCTTTGGAAGGAGGGGCAGGCA